GAATATGCACGTCAGAAAGCCATTAAAGAAACAATGGCCCACAGTTGTGTTTCTTATGCTGAAGCATCAAAATTTCATCCTCCCACTTCTAAACTATATTCAGATGTATTAACATCATCATCTCCGTCCAATAAATCTCATTTTCAATCTTCTTTCCTTAAAGAGAAATCATCATTACCACATATTCAATCATCATATAAAAAAACAGTTACACTTAAACCACGCTCTCCTCAAAAAGCACAACAAGGATATGATCGTTCTGCCCATGAAGCCATAGTTAAGGAATATAATATTCCTGCTCCCTCTAATGGTTGTGCATTATCATCAAATAATATTGACAATAATCAATCCATCTTTGATATTATTCTCATGCTTATTAAAGTGTTATCGCAATCGAAAATGATACAAACAACTTTACCACCGTCCAACGATGCCATTTACAATGTATTTTCTCAATTATTAACTTCTCACAATGGATTACAAAGTCCTAATAATTCAGTGGAACTGTCGTAGCATAACAAACAAGAAATCAGACTTATTTTATTTGATTAATAAATATAATCCTTTTATAATAGCTCTCCAAGAGACTTGGTTAAAGCCAGGATATCCTTTTAGGATTTCAGGCTTTACAAGTCTCCGTGATGATAGAGCTGACGGATATGGCGGTGTTGCCATATTGGTCAAACACTCCCTTCCTTTTTCTTCTTTTTCGCTTCCTGTATATAGCGGCATTAATGCAGCTGCTATAATTATAAATGGTATCTGTTTTGTTACTTTATATATTCCTGATCCTACATGCCAAATATATTCACAACTAGAACAATTATTTTCAATTTTACCTAAACCTTTTCTCGTAATGGGCGATTTTAATGCTCAGCACCAATCGTGGGGCAGTTCTACTTCTAATTTTTATGGTGGAAAACTCCTGACGATAATTGACACTTACAACTTATGTATTATTAACTCAGATGTACCGACACGTAGAACTGCACCGAATGAAGGATTTAGTGCTCCTGACATTTCAATATGTTCTTCTGATTTAGCTTCTTCACTGTCCTATCCTCATTCCTCTACCTTCGGAAGCGATCACTTTCCCCTCATTCTTTCTTTTCCAATTTCCATTCCCTCAAGTCGAAAGAGTGGTCCTCGGCTTAAATATAATTTATCAAATGTAGACTGGAATATTTACAAACAATATTTAGATAATAAAATATCGGAGTTACCTATTGTTTACCATGGAAATGAACATCAATGTTGTAATGACTTGATGATAAATATGAAGGAGGTTGCTGATTTATTATTTCCTGTTAAAAATAGTGCTTCAGGGAAAATTCCCTCCCCACCTTGGTGGGACAAAGATTGTACGGAAGCAATTAAAAATCGTAAAGAGGCTGAAAAAAATTATAATAATTACATGACACCAGAAAATTTTGAAATTTACACCGCAGTTTCACGTTCTACTCGCAAAATAACTGAAAAAAAAGAAATTAGAAGGCTGGAGAAGATTTTGTTCTTCTATCTGTCCAGAAGTTAATTCATCAGTCGTTTGGAATAATATTAAAAGATTCAGATCTGCCTTTAGTGATCATACATCACGTTCTGCACTCGATTTAACTTTAGCGAATAAATTTTTAGATCGCCTTGCTCCTAGTTATGTGCCGGAATGCCTTTACAATATTTCTTTATCCGTCTCTGACGAATTATTCGAACTTGACTCTCCTTTTACTCTAGTAGAACTTAAAGGTGTTCTAGCTTCTATTAAAGACTCTACACCGGGAGAAGACGGTATACCGTATTCCTTTTTTAAAAATGCTAGCGATGCGACATTAATTTACTTTTTAAATATAATTAATTCCATAATTATTTCGGGAAATATACCTACTTCATGGAAGTCTCAGATTATTATACCATTTCTAAAGCCTCATAAACCACCTTCTGAACCATCATCATACCGTCCTGTTGCACTTTCCTCTGTCTTACTAAAGCTAGCTGAACATTTAGTGAAAAACCGTCTAGAATGGTTTTTAGAAAGTAATAACTTACTATCCCCGAACCAGTTTGGTTTTAGGAAAGGTAAGAGCACCTTAGATAATGTGAGCATTCTTATTTCAGATATTCATATAGTTTTCTCACAAAATTTGTCAATCCTCTCAGCCTTTTTAGATATAAATTCTGCCTATGATAATGTAATAATTTCTATTTTAAAAACTAAATTACAAGCTCTAAATGTACCGGTAATGCTTTCTAATTTCATTATTAATATTTTATCAGAAAGAACAATACATATGGATTTAGATGAAGATACCAAATTATCTAGAACAGTATGGAAAGGCCTTCCACAAGGATCTGTTCTAAGTCCAATCTTATTTAACATATACACATACGATCTAGAATTATTCCTTGATAAATCCGTCAAAATTTTACAATATGCTGATGATCTTTTATTATATTTTATTGCGAAGTCCATAGAATCTGCTTCTGCCAAATTATCTGATTCATTAGATTTGTTAAAAACGTGGTTAGATGCAAATGGTCTTAATCTTTCTGTAACCAAGAGTAGTGTAGTTTTGTTTTCAAGAATGAGATCACCGCAACAAATTAAGGTGCTTTATGATAACTCATACATTCCTATAAAGACTGAAATTAAATTTTTAGGTATCGTGCTAGATAATAAATTAACAGGTCTGTCCCACTGTAATTATATTTCCACGAAATGTGAGCGTAACCTCAACATTCTTAGGTGCCTTGCTGGAGTTTGGTGGGGAGCACATCCCGTTTCACTAAAACTTGCTTATAATGGTCTTATAAGGAGTGTCATTGATTATGGAACTTTTTTGTTAGCTCCAGGAAGTTCATTTGCTTTTAAGAAATTGGATTTAATTCAATCAAAGGCCTTGAGGATTATCTCTGGAGCAATGAAATCAAGTCCAATCAATGCTTTACAGCTCGAAGTCGGTGATCCACCTTTGGTTTTAAGAAGGCAATATCTATCTGATCGCTTCTTTTTTCGTTGTTTACAATTATCTGATCATCCGCTTATTCAAAAGTTATCTCAACTACATATCTTTATTTCGTCTTCATCTTATTGGAAACATAAAAAACCTCCATGTTTAATACAAAGTTATAAAAAATATAAATCCATAGAATCTCCCACTTTTACATCGTCCTGTTTTCCCATTTATAAATGCTCATATCAATCTTTAGTTTTATCTCCTAATATTAAATATGATTTTGGGTTATCAAAAAATGATTCAGAATTGAATGCCAAATTTATGTTTATAACTGACATTGAATGGAATGAATGGCACTACATCTTTACTGATGCATCAAAACCAGACAATAGCGGTTGTGTAGGTGTGGGTGTGTTTCATTCACAATTTAATATCGTTCAAAAAATTAAACTTCCACCGGAGTCTTCAGTTTTTACCGGGGAATGTTATGGTATTTTAAAAGCTGTAGAATATATACTTTTAATGAAATTACATAAGGCAATAGTTTTCACTGACTCTATGAGCTCTTTGCAAGCTCTAGCCAAATATCCGTTTAAATCAAAACCAGTTTATCCCATTATTTGTGACATAAGACAAAGTCTTTATCTTTGCATGTTGAGAGGGTATTCCGTTTCTTTTGCCTGGTTACCAGGACACAGTGGTATTAGCGGTAATGACAAAGCTGACCTTATTGCAAGAGAGGCTGTAACTTGTGGTGATATGTATCCGTATCATAATTACTGTAGTGACTAGCTTGTCTCCCAAAAATATATTTAAGGTATGCCTGGAAGGAATATTGGGAAAAAACAAGTACAATAAAAGGAAGATTTTATCGCCTTATACAACCCGATATTCCTTTCAAACCATGGTTTTGTAAATTAAAGCTTGGAAAGACCGCAACAACTATTATAACTCGTATGCGTCTAGGTCACGTATGCACACCTTCTCATTTATACAAGCTTGGTATTGTACAAAGTTCGTCGTGTAATTGCGGTGCTGAAGTGGCGGACTTGAATCATATATTCTTCTCATGTTCTAAATTTGACCACACCTCCTTTTTAATCATCTCCGATCCATCCGTGTTCCATTCCCAACTTCTATTCTTACTCTACTTTCTTCCAATGATTCTATTATCTATAAAATACTATCTTCATATATATATGATAACAATATTAAGATTTAGTTATATTACATGAATACATTTATAGTTGCATCAATTGCTTTTCCTATATATTTATAAGTATATTCTCATATGTAAAAGTATATCCTTCATATCCTATAAATATCCTAGACCTAATCCTTATCCTTTCTAAATTCGTTTGTGTTAGGTATTTTTATTACTATTATCGTTTCCCCGTTTTGTTCTTGGCAAAATACCCTAATATCGGGGTGAACGCCACAAAATAAGAAAAAAAAAAAAAAAAAATTTAGACGTAGCGTTAGCATAGTTCTGAAATATTTTTCTTACGCTGTGGCATTAGTGTTTAAGTTAATTATGTTTTCGGAATAAGATTCTGAAAAGTCACGGTAATCGAAAAAGAACATAGCACTCTCGAACTCATCACTATACAAGGAAGTCATTTAACACGGTTTGATTCATCCCAAGGGGCTATAAAAGACAGAGAGAGACTCATTAAGTCAGGAGTCAATTCATACATATCTAACGTGATTCTCACCAAAGTGAGATTTAAGTTGAAATGTATACTCAAGACGAAAATTAACGTTGGAATTTGTCAAATGTTAAAGGTTTTTTTAATGACTAAGGTCGTAACTTATATAGAAATAAACAGTGTTATTATTTATTAAAGTATACATACAAATGATGGTCATGGTACTCCTTGTGCGGTACCAATCCTGCAGTCTACTCTTTAGCTCACTAATAACAGTTACAAATACAGTTGCTTGGCAGCTTGGCAAGAGAAATAACAATAAGGTAAGGTAAGCAGCGAGATAGAGGTTTCTATTCAGATGATTTTTAAGTAATCTCCGTTTGATAAAAAGTTAACTTACAGTCTCTTCTTCTCTGCCCATTCGTCGGCATGTTCTTGCGCTACCTTCTCAAGATGTTCTCTGGCTCTCTCAGCTTTTGTGAATGTCTGAAGTCTGCGAGCAACGTCGGCCTCCACCCGTTTTAGTGTTAAGTCATCCTTCGCGCGCTCGTCCTTTTAATTTGAAAAAAAAAAACCTTAGAAATTAACTCAGTAATTTTATAATTTCAATAAAGAGGTTTCAAGTTTTTAATCAAGAGAAGAAATATGTCGCATAATTTTTATTTTATTTCTGCTTCAGAATTTTGAAAGAAAACCGGCGGTTTTTGGCTACATTGTTTACTTTTATTGTCTACACGAAATCGTGACAATTGTAACTATACTTTAAAGATTAAAAGTACTACTACTAGTATCTTCTTTTTCACACTATACCAATAAATTAAAAATTTAAAATCTTATAAACAATTTTTTTAAAACAGGAAACATACTAGCGTCCAGCTGACTTCATGGTAAGTGCCTACCGCCACCCATGAGCACCCACTACATCAGAGGAATTTCAAATTAAATTTCAATTACTGCTGGCCTTTTAAAAAGAAATAATTTTGCTCTTTTCTTGAAGGTTACAACATTGTATTGATATCAAAATACAGTAACACGTAAAATATATGACTATAAAAGCTGTCAGTACATTAGAAACAACAGCTAATCTAAATGAATGACAGAAATTAACTATTTAATACACATTACATACAGAGAGACATTGCACAGGCGTGGGTAATATGGATACCGATCCGATATCTATATATTGGGATCCTCTGGACATTGATGGTGAAAAGAAGGTCATCACGCATTTCGATGTTGTCCATATCGGTCGGATATCTATTTTCAAATATATTAACAGTATATAAATATTCTAACTAAAATATATAGATATTTCTATATCGCTAATTACAAGGACGTATTTACCAAATGCTTCATTTCCTGATGTATCCTGTCCATGAATTGATTGTACAAATATTTTCTATACTGATTGAATTCCTTCAAAGTGCAGACAGCTCTACCGTCTTTGGTGCAGAAACCGAGAATTTTCATCCTGTTTCTAGTCGGTTTCTGTGCGAAGTGATGTGCGAGGTGTGGATCGTGCATAGGTACGTAGTCGTAGGACACGTTATTGCAATAGGGGTCGGTCAGGTCGAAGGTCGGCTGGGGACCGCTGCTGCCGAGACCGAGGCGCCGCACCTGGTAGTTGCGTTAAAATGACATTAAAGCTTATTTAATACTAACTCTTAGTCTGCTACTTCGTACGAATAAGAAAATGAATAAAAAAAAAATTGAAGTTAGAAAATCAATGAAATAAACTATTTCTAGACGGTGTATCATGATTAAACATACACCTGTTTGAAAGTTTAAAAAACTGTGATACGTTAATAAACAAGCTGACAAAGTGACAAACAAACAATCACACAAACAGAGAAACACATTACAAATTATCATTTTCGATTATCACTTGTACTAGGTATATGAGGGGTACATATAATCCCATCATAACGTAAATTTCTAAAAATACTTACCGTCAAACCTCTCATAAACCTTATTTTAGCTATTGAACTGTTTTGTCTCTTTCTTTTACACTGAGTTCCCAATTTGAAAGAAAGTGACAGAACTTTTTGAGTTTTTTAGTTTTTATAAATAAAGGGTTATATTAATTGTTAGAATTTTGCATTGCATGGTTTATGGTTTATAAGAGATGGGAATTAACGTCAACCTTTAGATAAACTGTTTTAGATTAACCTGCATTATCTTGACATTTCGACCAGGTTACACAGGCCGTCTATCATCGATCTAATACTTAATGAGGGGGGAAGGCGATTGTTAGTAAAGGGGGTTTAATGAAATTTAAATTATACATCTATATGCGGTTCCCTTCATCGTGGCTGTCAGGAATTCGTCACGATGGGCTAACTGATCTACTTTCATTGTCACCTATCATTCCTCACTGGTGCCCCGCCAGCGTTACCGATAGCACAGGCGATACCATTCCATTATCACCCACTAAAAAAAAATGTATTGAATAGTTATATAGTATATAAATCCTTATTCTTATTATACAGTTTTGTTTTCATTACATTTTAATAGTATGTAAAGATCAGTACTATCCTGTGGCTTTGTGTCTATTTTTTTAAATGGATAATAATGGTACGGTAACCCCGCCTGCGCTAAAGGTATAAGCTGGCGGGGCACCAGTGAAGGATGACAGGTGAGAATGAAAAGGCAGGTCAATTAGGTCATCGTGATGAATACATCTAGAATTCAGCACGATGGTTTCCAGGGAGAACCACGTGGAGCTCGACTTGACAGGGTATATTGTTAGCAATGAGACTAGTAGTCCACGTTACTAATAATCCCTTCCCCCCATGTTTGTGTGTATTAGGATAGTTTATATAGAAATGTGAACCTTATTATTCTTTTTTTTATTTCAATACTTGTAATAAGTTGTGAATAAGTAGAAATAGGAAAATTGATAGTAAATTAAATGTAAATAAAATATAGAATAAGCACCCTAGCTAAGATGGTATATTAGATTAGATTGGAGTTAGAATAGATAGCTCATATTAAGATTGTAATAATAGAATAAGTAGTTTATATGTAGAATGTATTGTTAGTTACATAAGTTGGAAAAATATAATAAATGTTAAAAGTCTGGAAATTAATATCGGGGGTCGTATTGTAATATAATAATAATAATAATAATAACTAGTCTGGAACAACATCTCAGACGGTTGGGATTCCGAGGCGGCTCACTCCCGGGAAAGATGCAGAAAGCGGTGCTCTATTACATACTGCCCGCATTGTACGCCGGTTTCTCTCCCTGGGGCCCTGAACTCCGGCCGACTGTGCTTATGTCCCCCTATGTCCCTCATATGTCGGGGGTTAGTTGCCATCTCCTCTCCCTAAGAGGGGAGATGTGAATTTTGTTGAAAAAAAAAATAATAAGATGTGAATACCCTGCTGGTTGATTTGTAGCAGAAATATGACATTGTTATTCGTACCTAACTATATCCATGAAGATTACGCAGAACACAAATAATAACTGGTTATTGTGATTTATAATTTCATATCACAAGGTGTTTACCTACATAATGATTACATATCATGTATCATCCTATACAAAAACATGGCATACTTTTGTGCACATTTCGACATTTATTTATTTTATTTACTTGCAGCAAATAAAAATGTGCACCGCGACTGTAATTATTCATTATTACAATTGACGATAATAATAAATGGTGATTTAAATAAAAAAAAAAAGCACAGATATTAAATTTAAATTATACATCTATATATCTTCATGTCAGGTTTACAACGTATTTGTATTATATTTATGTCTTTTTGCTTCATGGTAGGAATAAAATCTGTTTTTTTATAAACAATATACATATATTAGCATTTACTTGCTTGCGATTTCGTTCACATATTCGGATAACATGAATAAAGAAATATAACGTCGACCTCAAAGTTTATATAATTGGGATAAAGATCGAGTCGTTGAGGTATCAAGAGGTAACGAACTCCTTTTATATTTTTAATATCAGCAAAAATTGTTCAATATATTTTTTTGTTTTCCTAACTTTCAAATGTCCAATTTCGAGAAAAGAGACACCAAGATTGTTTATCAAAATCAAGTAACAAATTATAGTTGAAACCGAGCTACTAAAAAATTCAATTTCGTAGTTCATTTATAATCTTGGTATTTGCGTGATCAACGAATTTGATCTCGCGAGATCTCGTTTCTGAGTACGAATGTCACATGCTGAACTATGTGAGAACAATTCGGGTAATACTCTATGCAATGTTTTATGTAAAAAATTATTCTAATAATAAAATATCAAATTGTAGGCAATAGAAGAAAATCCTTTGAGTTTTCATAGTTTCATAGTTTCAAAAGTTTAATTCTATTCTTTATTTATTATATATAATTTTAACTTTTTGATTAAAATCAAGTCGTTATGCTTATAATTATAGATGCCTAATTTTATAGATGCTTCTTATTCTGCAAAAGTAATGTCGATTTTAGCACATCAGAATTTTTTTTATAAAACTTAGAATGGCAAACAAGCTGACGGCAAACCTGATGGAAAGTGGAAAATGAAAAGTGAAAATTATTAACAATATAGTACCGCCGTGTGTGCCTTGACATAGAACAGGCCACCGCTTTCTTTCCCGTGGGTGTCGTAAGAGGCGACTAAGGGATCGGCGAAGGATGGTCGGCAACGTCCCTCTTAAAACATCTCTAAAAGCCTATCTGCGGTTGCCAACCCGCCTGCCAAGCGTGGCAACTACTGGCAAAACTCCCCTTATGGGGAAGGCTTATGTCCAGCAGTGGACAGTGGACGGCTGAAAGAAAAAAAAATAGTACTGATCGGGTTTAAATTCATAACAAAAATGTAAACCTTTTGATCCTGAAGGTTATATATAGTCAGTAAATCAAAACAAGGAAAGCTATAAATTACATGTAATGTAGGTAGGTACCCCGTCGGTTGCCGGGATAGTTCCAATATACTAAAACTATTATTACATTATATTTACATTATGGTCACCCACTGTTACATTTAATTTAATAAAGAACGATGTGATAATGGTATAGATACAGGTCACAGTGGAAATTAAATTTTTTTTGAAGCAACAATATTAGCAAATCTATTTTGTGCATACAGAAGCAGTACCATGGACATAAAAGAGTATACTGTTACGCCCATGATACCCCCCATGCATTGCCATTCCTGACCTCTGTACCCTGTAAATTCACGCCATATCCCACCCTTCAAACTAAAACACATCCATGTAAACACAATTGCTTTACGGTTGAAACACGAATGGGACAGAGGTACGACTTTTGCAATCGACTTTTGTACAAAGTCTCAGTTCAGTAGTGTAATTTTGAAACCAAAATAAACGGCAATCAATTGATTTCGGTTATTTATGGCATACAATCTTAAACTATTCATATTTCAGGAAGTAATTTCGAGCATAAAAAGCTGATACCTAAAAAAAATTATTATTATTCCTTGTAAACATATTTGTACTATACAAAGCGTACAATTGTTACATGTATTTCTAATTTATGATACGTTCACGAATCCTGACGCATGCACGAGTATGTACAGGTGTGTTAAGGGCGAAAATGTTCATAATGTAACAAATAGAATTACATTCCGCGAGTAAGCTGCCGTATTGCATTACATCACATCTTATTATATTCACTGAGGTGTAATTTTCGTTTTTAAATCGTTATATTACATGCAAACAATTATATTTATAATGTAATAACGGTACTTAATTTACGTTTTATTAGATTGAAAAAGCTCAATTAGTTTCGGAATTAATTTGTGATCCTTAGTCATAAAAGATGAAGAAAGAAAGAAGAAAAAAAGAAAGAAAGAAGACGCGAGCGCGAGCCTAATTGAATACATATTTCTAATATTTTTTTAATTAATTCGATAATAAACATAGCTTAAGATTTTGTTCCACGCAACTTTTCAATAATGGTAAAACCAGCTAATTTAAAAATTAAATTTTTGAACCGATTTTGATAAAATTTCCATGAGACTAATTTAAAAGTATTCAGAAAAAAAAAAGAATTGTTCAAATTTGCATATAAATGATGCATTTCTGAGGTGTCGACATAAAAAAAAATACAAACAAATCTAAAATTTTCTACTTTTTTTAAAGACTGTCTAATAACGTGTTATAATAATAATGTCTAATAATATGTGTCTTACCAACCGATTAATTGAGTCAATTACTTATAAAAAAAAGCCGAAATTCGATGCAAACAGTTATTGATACTGTAAACTGGTCGTGTTTAAGTAACTTCCGTTACTAAAAGCATTTTGTGGTGAACAGGTTTGTTGGAGGAGGCAGGAGCTGTCTAATAACGTCTTAGGGTCGACGGTTATCTAAGAAACCAAAGGAAGTTTGTTAAGTGACGCTAAAAGGTCGAGCCTAGTTTAAATTGTGAAACATCCGGTGCCCTTATTGCATACATTAGAAAAGAATTGCCTAAAAAAATGGGATCTGAACAATTTTTTTTTTAATTTTATTTGGTAAAGGTAACATTAAGTGTTAAAAAATTTAAGTCAAGAAACTAATTCGTACATAATTAAATATAATAGTAATGTTTCATGTATGTATTTTTATATGTATATATTTATTTATTTAACATATTATGTGTGTTT